GAAACCAGAGAACCTACCCCACGCTATAATCTAAGGACGCAAAACCGAAATCCTGATAATCAGACCACCAGACCTCACAGATGCTATCAGTGTAACCAAGAAGGCCACATTTCGAAAAACTGTCCCACTAGAGTATTACAACCTCAACTAGATAATCAAAGGAGAATAATAACAGATAAACAACCCAATGGTCCTAAGGTTAGAGGTATAAACATACAATACCTTGAGGTAACAGAAGCGGTAAAAAATGAGGATAGCGAGTACCTAAAAATTGAATTAAAGGAAAGTGGATTATTATTCAATGTGAGGAATCTAGACAAAAGAAGGCATGTTGAGGAAGAACATGAGATGCCATCTTGGGCCCAGAAGGGCACTTACGTCGAAACACCGGAAGAGTCTGAACAATATAAAAGAGGATCAATAATGTATATTCCTATCACCGAACTAACGGATGAATTGGACATTCTGAAAACCATTGTGTCACTTGAATTTCTCATAACCCTGGGACAATTGTTCAAATGGTCTCACAAAGCTAGAACCGAAGTGCTTAAAGCATTAACTAGGAAGAAGAAAGAAACTGATGTATTAATGGTAAATGCTGAGATCAAGTTTGTAAGAAGAGCACAAACTGGCTCAAACCTAAAATTGGGAAATGTTCCCGTTACCCTGGCCAAAATAAATGGTGACATAACAGAAGCGCCAATTAATCCTGGTTTACATTTGAACCTGATGCATGAATCGTTTGCTAAACGCAAAGGATTATCCTGAAAAGCTGCGACAAGTAAAGGCCGTATAGCTGATGATCGTTTGAGTGAATTCGTAGGATATATTCCTAATGTTGAAGTGATCATCGAAGGGATTAGGGTCACTCAAGGGTTCTACATAATGAAAACTGCGAGCTTTGAAGTATTATTGGGTATGCCTTGGTTGGCCGCAGCACAGTGTAACTTGAAAAACAATAAATTATGGACAATCGGGTCAGATTATAAGAAAGCCTCATTTGTTGCATTGATAGTACCTAAGGATTGGATCAACATTTCGGAATATGGTAATGATGCTGACGATGAAGAAGATGCTGATGACATAATGATGGTCCGAAGAATCGAGATGTATGAACCTAAAGTACACAAAATGATAGAACAAAAATATAAAGGATTAGAAAATATTGTAAAATATGCAAATAATGCAAACAAACTTACCATCAAGGAAGTTGAGCCTGTCGATTTATGCGACTTAATTCAGAGCAGTCACTTTGGACGAGTGATTTATTGGTCATGTGAAAATGAACAAGCCGACAGTACAGTGAAAGGGCTAGATACAGAACCTGGTGTTGTGATGCGTTTGACAAAGGACAATTGTAGTGAATTAAACGTTGGGCCTACTATTTCGGTTAAAGAAAGAAAATGGATCGAAGAACAATTAATAAATAAAACCCCTGATGTATTTGTGTTCGATATTTCGAAAATAGGAAAGACCGATCTGATTCAATATGAAGTAAGAACCGGTGGCAAGAAAATCTCACCAATGTGTTTACGTCCAATACGACTAAATAACCTAGAGCATGCTTGTATGTTCGAGCATCACCTGAAGGATATGTTGAAGTATGGACTTTTAGAGAAAGGCATGGGTCAATATGCCTACCATTGTTTTCTTGTTAAAAAAAAGGATGGTGGAACCGATAAGCTAAGAGTCGTTAGAGATATGAGACCACAATAAGTATATAATCAAGGATGGATATCCCTTGCCTATAATACGTAACATCTTGGAAAAGGCCGTAGATCATGATTGGTACTCTAGTGTAGATGCCTATAAAGCTATTGGCAAATACGCATTCGTGATGAGGATAAAGATAAAGTAGCCATTGCTACCCCACTAGATGTGTTACGATATACGTAATGAGTATGGGTCTCAAAAACGCTAGTGAGACGTTCCAGCATTTAATGGATAAGTTGCTCAAAGGTGATGAATGGAGATATATTGCTGCAGCATATCAGGATTATATTGGCCTTTGGACCTGGGGTCGATGGAGGAACATATTGACAAGTTTGAAAAAATGGCACAAACGTCAGTAATGCTGATCTTACTTTCGTCGCTAAAAAGTGCCGCCTACTATACAATGAACTAAATATGTACGGTTTTATCATTGGAAAGAATGGCATAAAACCTGATCCAACTTGTATAAAGAAAATTAATGAATAGAAAGCCCCTAAAAACATCCAAGACATCTATGTGTTCCTAGGTACTATGAACTACTATCGCCGGTTTGTGAAGAATTTTAGTGCAATTGCCAAACCACTAACGAGCTAATGAAGAAGGATATTAAATTCAAGTGGGGCGATGAACAAGCTAAAGCATTTCAACTGCTTAAGTATAAAATGACAAATGATATAATGCTCAAAGGACCAAACTGGCAGGCTGCCAAGAATGGAACCAAGCACTACCAAATGAGTAACAATGCCAGTGATACAGCATTGGGTGTCGTGTTAGAACAAATAGACGATCAGCATATGCTGCGCCCTGTAACATTTGAATTACGAAAACTAAACTCGCATGAGTTAAACTATACAATAACCGAAAGAGAATGTTTAGATGTAGTTTTTGGCTGTAATATGTGTGAGAGATATGTAGCTGGAATGACATTCGACATATGGGTAGATCACCAAGCGTTGGTATGGCTTTTTAATAAAGCTTTGCTGAAAGGATGTTTAATGCATTGGGTAATAGCTCTACAAACCTTTGATTTTAAGATACATTACAAGCCTGGTAAAAAGCATAGTCATGCTGATGAATTGTCTCAATACCCCGACCCTATGACATCTGAAAATCGACCTTTGGATGAAGAGTACATCGACTCATTGTTATTAAGTGTAGGTAGTGACGTCAAGCAAGATACAAGAGATTTAGGGTTGGTCAAGTTCTATTTGAAAAACATGCATTGGCCACATGATACATCGAAAAAAGACCTTCCCTGGCTTCGAAATAAAATCTGAAAATTCTGCTTGATAAATGGAAAACTATTTAGAAGGTCAGTTGACAAAAAACCACCACACAGGGTAATATTAAGTGAGGATGAAAAGGTTAGGATCATGAAGGCAAATCATGAAGGGCTTGCTGAAGAAGGTGGACACTATGGAATGAAAGGAACTGTCAGAAAAATTCTATTAAATTATGTATAGGGAAGTGGTAGTGTGTATAAGGATGTGCAAAACTATGTATCATCCTGTTTGACCTGTCAAATGTGTGCTAGCAAACAAGTTAAGGAGCCAGTTCACGTAACTACTACTAGTTGGATCTTTCACAAACTTTATGTTGACTGTATAGGTCCACTACCTAGAACTTCCACCGGACATGAGTATATAGTAGTCGCAGTTGAGGACCTAACTGGGTATATGGAAGCACATGCATTAAGGAATAAAAATGTGAAATCGATTGCTGCGTTCCTATGGGAAGATGTAATTACCAGGCATGGATGCTTCGCAGAGTTAACCTCGAATAGAGAAACTAAATTTAAAAATATGATAATGGAAGAATTAGCAGCATGGTTACAAATGAAACAGCAATTTACTGCTAGTTACCACCCTGAGGCCAATGGCAAGGCCGAATGTAATATACAAAAGTTGACCTGAATAATCAGGAAGGTTAGTGCTGAAGCACAAAACCGATGGCATGAACATCTACGAGCTTCTGTGTGGGCCCTTAATGTAACTGTGAGTGAACTGGGTTACTCACCTTTTAGATTAGTATATGGTCATGATGCAATAATGCCGGTCGAGTTGACTCTTGAAAGTTATCAGACTTTTATGACTAGACAAGGTTGGACTACTGATGAGTTGCTGGCTTTTAGAACGCTACAGATAAAAGGATTGGCTCACGAATTGAAAGAAGTAAAGGCAAACAGGGATGAACTTCATGAACGATAGAAGGAGTTCCATGATCGACATGCGAATGGAAATAAGGAAAGGATCAAGATTGGTGATTTGGTGCTAGTATATGATTCAACATTGGATAACTCACCTCGTAAATTGGATTATAGATGGATTGGTCCATATGTGGTAAGAAAAATAGGTCAAGGTGGACACCTATATTTAAATGAAATGGATGGTAGTGAGCTAAGGGATCCTTTTACGAGAAATCAGGTTAAAAGGTTGAAGCAAAGAGAAG